CAATTGGAAGTTGCAGTCTCATATTATCAGGTATCTACAATAATTTTTGAATTAGAAACTTCTTGTTTTCTACTAGATTGTATACATATATCGTATTGCCGTAACACATTGGATTCTTGATGGATGATACTTTTTTTTTTTTTTTTGCAGGTTCATTTATGTGCCTAGTCCGCATACTAGCGAAGTTCTGTGTGAAGCTTTAACTGGATGCCTCTTAGATTGGAACCTCGATCGCAAGTTATCCACAATCACGTTGGACAATTGTTCGACGAACGATGCTATGATGAGATTGTTGTTAGAGAAACTTCCATCGAACTCGCTACTGTGCCGCGGGAAATTATTGCATATGAGATGTGCAGCTCATATCTTGAATTTGGTGGTGCAAGACGGGTTACGCGTCATTGGAAGAACCATTGAGAAGGTGAGAGACAGTGTTTCATACTGGACTGCGACTCCTAAGAGAATGGAGAAATTCGAGGAGTCAGCTCGACAGCTTCGTGTGGAACTTGGTAAGAAACTTACACTTGACTGTAAAACTCGATGGAATTCCACGTACTTGATGCTACAAATTGCTTTGGATTATAAACAAGTGTTTTCTCGCTTAAATGTTCTGGATCCAAATTATAAATCTTTGCCTAGTGAAACTGATTGGCATATGGCTGGGGAAATTTGTCGGAGATTGAAAGTATTCTATAAAGGCACTGAGTTGTTCTCTGGTACCGAGTATCCCACTGCAAATTTGTATTTTTCTAAAATTTGTGAGATAAAGCTTGCTTTGAATAATTGGGTTTCTTGCGGTATTGGTGAGGTGGAGTCGATGGCTGTAGAAATGTTGAATAAATTTAATAATTATTGGTCTGACGTGCATGGTATCATGGGAGTGGCAACTGTGCTTGATCCTAGGTATAAATGTGTTTTGCTTGAGTACTATTTTCCAATGATTTATGGTACCAATGGTGAGTTTGAGGTTGAAGAGATTCTTGATGTGTGTCGTGAGTTGGTACAACAGTACGAGGCTAAAGAGAAGAGAGGTAGCGATAAAAGTGTCTTGGTTGATCCTAATTTTTCTGATGACCCATCACTTAGTGGATATGACTTGTATGCCTCTCAACGAAAGAGAAAGTCTACAAAATCGGAGTTGGATTTGTATTTGGATGAGGATGTTCTACCACGAACGCTCGATTTCGACGTCTTAAGTTGGTGGAACTCTAATAAAGGCAAGTACCCGATTTTGCATCAAATTGCTCGGGATATCTTAGGAGTTCCGGTCTCTACTGTTGCTTCCGAGTCCGCTTTTAGTACAAGCGGACGATTGATTAGTCCTCATCGTAGTAGACTTCACCACAAGACTATTGAGGCGTTGATGTGTTCACAAAGTTGGATGCAATGCGAGCAAGGTAATTCCCTCTATTAATATGTAAATTTAATTTGATGTTTAAGTACTTTATATGATAAGTCTTTATTTACTATACATATTACTTTTCTTTGTATTGATATGTAGAAAATAAAACACATGGTGAAAATGCAACGGTTTTTTATGATTCGGATGTCGAGGATAACGAGACTTAGGTATGATATGATTCTCTTTTAATCATATATTTTGGTGTTGTTTGATTTGATATACTATTGGTTCTATTTAAGTTTTATCTTTTTTATTATTCGTATGAAGGTCGATTGGGAGGATTTCATCATGGCAAGGGCGGCATTTTGTTATTCATCGAAGGCATACTTTTTTTTATTCAACTTTGTTGTGGAAAAACTTTGTTGGCTTGTTAGACATTGTTTTGTTACTCCTATTTAATGTTGGTTTTGTATTTTGGATATGCTTTAAATTGGGATGGACCCTTTTCAAATGCTTTCATTTTGGTCATGTTAGTTACTCATTTATGTATGTTCTCTGTTGTTTAATTTGTTATATTTTTTTGTGTTGTAATAATGTTATTGTTGCTGTATGATTTTGGGGTCATGGATGAACTAAAAAATAGAGCAATGGCCCATGCAAGGCCCAAAAACTAGGTCCATTATGTTTATTCCAGAATTTGTAGGCAAAAAATAAATAAAGGCGGGCCAGGGCGGGGCGGCCCGCCCCAGCGCGGGCCAGGTCGCGGGGCGGGATTCCTGGACCCGTGGCGGGTCACGGGCCAGGTCAGGGCGCGGGCCTATGGTCGCGGGGCAGGTCCGGGTACTGAACTACCCGGCCCGACCTGCCCCATTGCCATCCCTATTAGCAGATAGTAATAATTGTTTTAATCATCAGATTGTATCAACTGATTTGACCAGCAGATAGTAATAGTGATTTTTAAAAATATGTTTAGTAAAAGTAGCTTATTGATTCGTACAAATATCTTTGGTATTATTACTTTGAAAATTATTTTTATACAAATATACATTGGTTATATTCGTTTACTTATTTATGTTAACAAAAAATTTTTTTGATATAATAATATTTTCAAATTATTTTTTTAATATTGTATATAGTAAAAGTAATAAGTAAAATAAACATAAAATAAATGGTTTCAAAATACTAAAATAATATTTGAGAATTTAATGACAAATAATATGTTATCTTCCCAATATTTTTTTTTTCTTTTTGGCACTTAGTAAATGATTTTATAAAAGAATCTAATACATTGTGTTTTGTAAAAAAAAAATAGAGATTAATAATTGAAGCATCGAACACTGAATGCTATTGTTATGTGGATTTTTCAATATTAAAAATAAAAACTGTCAAATCTACTTTCATTAGTTAGTGCAAAAGTAAAAAAATAAATGAATGAAAAGTTTATCCAAATTAGTTAGCACAAAAGTAAAGAAATAAATGAAAAATTTATTAACTCTGTTATTGCAAAATGCTCTAAATTGCAGTGTTTTTATTTTCAGTTTATTCACCCAATAAACTAAAACAAAAAGCCATCTAACTAAACATTAATTTTAGATCGTTTGACGAAATAAAAAAACTAAACTCCTTCAAATAAACAAAATTCTTGTCAAAACGCTATTAAACAAATAAGACTTTTGTGTGTTTTAACTTTTAACCTTTTATTAGGCTATTTAGGCCTTCATATAAAATCTCTATCTTTCCGTGTTTTTTTTTTTCCACGCGTAT